TGTTTGGAAGAGAGGACCCACGCAGACTCCAAGATCTGAAGATTTCCAAGGAGGGCAGCCGAAGAATAGACTTCACGTCCACGCCAGCGTCCTCGTTGGCAAAAAGGCTGAGACTGACCAAATTTATGAATGGGAGCTCTCCCTTGGCCTCGACGCTGGACCATTTTGTCATTCTGTTCAGGTACTGCGCTGATCTTCCTAGCTGCAATTCGACTTCGGTGAGACCATGCAGTTGAGAAAGGATTCCTGAAACCCAGGTAGCCCCTTGGTTGGATTGAAGGTCTTCGACCACTTCTGGAATAACTGAATGCCATCTCCTCAGGGGTGGTAGGAAATACTTCTGAATCTCTTGTTGAGTGAATATCGTGGTCTTCAATGTTGGTTTCGTGCCAGGGTCCGAGATGTCATGAATATCAATATGCCTTTCACCAGCCCCTGCTTCAAAATATCGAACCAATGATGCTAGCTCAGGATGTTGTGAGAGAGTCCGAGCAAAACATATTGTGGCCCTTGGAGAAGACAAAAAGACCGCTTTATAAATCAGTTCCCGCGTGACAAAGTGAAGACGTTTTGCTGTCAGTGACATTGCAAATAAATCTCCACAGGAGTCGCTCGTTCCATAAGGCTTGATTGATAGATACTGGGCAATCAGGAACAAAAGTTCGTCTGGGAGATCATATATATGCGCCATTGAACCTATGAACTACAATTCTGCATCAAAGCAAGGCTGAAAATGTGAAAACATAATTCTAAAGCTGCTTAATGTCTTACCAGCCAGCCATGTGACAGACTTGGATGATGACATTTGCCAGGAACATCCCTTTTTAACGCCTACACTTACAAGTGTATACCTGCAAGTGCATACCTGCAAGTGCATACATGAACAAAGAGAACTAAGCGGGTCTTCTACACTGCATTCCTGACACGGTACCGCACCGGGCTATACTGTAGCACTTCTGAGCGGATATGGAAGTGATCGTCTTCTAAAATGTATTGTACCGAAGCAATTTTAACTCCACGCAGAGAGTAGCAAGGCTACCATGCAGAGTCGAACTGCAGGCCGCCCACAGAATTTTCACGAGACAATATACAGTATCACACTTGCCCTATGTTGGGCCACCTCAAATAGTACCATTGTCCCTCAATGAGCGGTTCTTATTGTGTCCTGTTCTTGTAGCTGTCAGAAAATGTCTTCCTGTGAGTTGACTCTGGCCTTACCGCCCCAACGTTCAGTTTCGCTGCCATCACTGTGCCACGCCACAGAGTCGACGGATTCTATGTCCCCTGACCACGAAGTATGTCGGGAGATTATCTTGATCCAAACAAAGAGACATGTTGCACTGGTGAGTGTGAAGACAAGGATGGCTAAACAATTCAATAGCGACCGCATATCGACTGGAGTTTGCATCTGTCGGAGAACCAGAAGTACAATAGTTGAGACAGACTGGACAGAGATATGCTCTGAGTTATATTTACCTTATGTTTACCTTATTACAGTAGACCCCTATCCCCGGTTCTACTGAACTGTAGTGTATTTGTATAGAGAAAAACTGGGCAGCAATAATACACTCCCTCTCAACAGGTCTGGACATTCGCGAGAACCATGGCTGCTAATGGACTGTAGTGCTTACAGAACCTCCAGATGAAATATCCCGCATTTATTGATAAAAAGATACGCCCCATACATTATTGGCCTTCGTCCACAGTATTTAAGCAGTGCCCTCGAATCTCAGTAGAGTTACTGTTGCAGGATACATGGAGGACGGCATAATCCACCTAGCCTTCTTCTTTCCAGTTGCGTGGCTCTTAGTGGTAGCGTTGCTGTTGTGTATATCACTGGCTCATAGATCGATGAACAACTCCCCAATCGTTGAGATGGCAAACTGCACAGATTCAATACTAAAGACGGCTCTAAAAGGCAAAGACTACACTTGCAAGGATGAGAGTACAGTTACGCTGTCCACACGACCAAATCTACGCAGCCGTCTCATAGAGGTTCTACTCCAGCGGCCCAAACACGAGACACGCACCAGTTTTGCTGGACAACCACTTATTATTGGAAACGACATGGATCAACAGGAGCACCAGAGGTCACCGACAGAGAAATCACGACCAAAAGGTCAGTTGGAAAAGTTTCAAGTCGAATACATCAAACGTTCCAAATACGACCTAGATCGTCAGGAAGTGCTCTATGAAATCAAATGGTTGGGTTATCGAGATGCCGAAAACACCTGGGAACCGAGAGAAAATCTTCTCCCGTAAGGATCCTCGAAAGACTCTATAAACAAAGTACACTTAGGCTGACAAACAACAGTGACTGCTTGATTAACCTGTTTGTCCATCATTACCTCATCGGATCGACGCCGCTTCCATTCCACAAGCCTCCTCGATACACAACTCGACAGCCTCCGACGCAACCTACCAACGAGCCCAGCGGCTTGGTGGAAAGAATTATCAATAATGACAACTTCTCCCTCCATGTCGATTGGATGAGCCAGGTTCTTCAAACGGACTGGGAGCAAGAGGTGGTAGAAGTAGAAGATCTACACTTCTCAAGTTCTGGAGAACCTGTAGCTGTCGCGAAGACCAGCAATGGGCAGAGACATATCTTGACCACCGAATGGCTGGCGCTCCACTGTCCGCTGAAAATGTTGAGGTTTTACGAGACGAATGGGACCTTTTAACGTCTCAACGCACCGCTCTAATGGTGAAGTTCTCAGCTGCACTGCAAATTCGTGTCTGGCTCTAGGTAAATGGTTGTAGGCTTGGCAGCATTCGCAAAGTCTTCTTTAGAATTCAATACCTTGTCTTGTTCAAAACGTCAATCACATTCCCTCTTTATGTACAGGAGCATGTGATCTGCCTCCGAATATGCAGAAGTTGAAAAGAAAGATCTATCGTGCAGTAATTATGGTGCGATGTCCAACTTGACGAGAGCCTAAAAAATATCTGCAATCTCAAAGCCAAACTCCAAGCAAGTCTCAAAGGTGTTTCCTAATCATCCCTGCTGATGTCCTTGTCCATTGTCTGTCAGTGCTGGAAAATTTGGGAATGATGTGTCTATAGACATATCAACAAATTGGTGGTGAAATTTCTCGTTCATAAATTGGTTAGCTTCAGATAAAACTGCGTCGAAGGCACTCCTCCGCTGGGTGAGAGCTGTCAGGAAGGCTCTCCGTCCGGGTTCACCGAATTGATATCTGTTACGTAGCGATCAGCTCAGAGGTCTTTCTGGGATTTCGTAAAACCCTGTACAGTACGTCAAAATGGCAACGCCTTACCGGGAGTCTGGCTCGCAGGAAGGGGCCAGAAGTAACATGCCAGGTCCAAAGCCTTCGATCAACTTGGACCAAAATCCCCCGATGGCACGCCATTTTTCGACTCTGCGCCTCATACTTCGCAGGGACACACCCTTAAACCTTGAATCAGAGAGATGAAGGTCGACAAGACAATCCTTGACCACTGTAGACGCACCCTTGCCTCGGCTCATCACCAGGGACTGCGACCTGTTACGTCGTCGATACCACTCCCGCATCCAGGCCAAGAAGGGAGAGTCGGCGCCTTTCCGGGTATCGTTGGAGGCGGCCACGTAAAGCTGATAGTAATGTGCAAAGTCTATTCGATTCTTCAAGCTTTGGACTTCGCCTCTCAGGGAGTTCCTTTCCAGTTGACGACCTTGTTGAAGGATAAAGTTGACGAAGCTTGGTACGTCGGGGCTTTGGGACATGCCAATCGGTGCGGTCGTGTCCATATCCGATAAAAGCTGCGAAGAAGTAATATCTTCCCACTCTTCTCTCAATGTAGAGATAAGCGCACCCCGATCATTCGTCCCAAACCGCTCAGCCAACCCTTCAGGAGTGTGCTCCATCTTCGCCGTCTTTTGTGGTGAGTGAAAGGTTCGATTGGTACATGTTCTTTTCCTTCCATTCGCGGAACGTGTGCCGAGCTCCTCCTCTTCCTCGACCCCGCCGTCGTCCGGATCATTGATCTCTTCCCTCAGGAACGGTCTTCCTGCTCGTTGTCCGCGCTCCTGATCTTCTGGTTGTTGCACGTTACAGGCGGCATTACGAGGTGACCGACCAGGTGGTTCTACTCCCGTTGAACACACGCGCCCGGCATTTGGTCCAGCCAACATGGGGCTGCCACTGGAATGGCAGTGTGCGTGAGATTCATATGCTTCGCCAGCCTCGTCACTGGTTCCAATCGTGAGAGGAACCGTGCCATTTCTAGTATCAGGGGAACCTGGATTGTCCGTGATCGTGGGTGTCAACACCTGCATGCTTCTCCGACAGGCTTGAAATATATGAGCATTTTCTCGTGGTGCTGAGCCTCCGCCTGTTTCCAAGGGTCCTTGGTTATTGTCTCGTTTCGGCGAAACTTTTTCTGGCTGGTGCAGTCTTGACCATATAAGATCTTCCGGCAATGGAGGATCAATTCCGTCCATGGAGTCCGTGGACGGCCGGGTCAAGGGTGATCCTGCAGGTAAAAGATGCGACCCGGCTGAAGTCGAGACGATCTCCTTCTGTAGCTTGCTCAGTGAAAATGTTTTCAGATGATGCTTTGCATAACAATCTCTGGACCATTCAATGACATTACTGCAGATGATGAAGGTAGCTGGGACGAGCTCACCTTCGGGGCTTGACAGATGCCGGGGCCTCTGTGTCGCGGCAGGAAAACCTGGGGACTATGGGATCGTAGCCAGCATATGGCGTCTTCTAGGGTAGCAGCCACTCTGTCGACGATATCTGTCGGCGGCTCAGTGAGAGACTCCATCCATGCTCGCTCGAATGAATGCCAAAGCTCTTTCAAGCTATCGGTGGTTGCACCAGAATAGACGGATGATTCCATATCTGCTGATAAAGGAACCGCAGTCAAGGCGTTTCGGTTTGGTGTGTGGGTTCCGACAATCAAGGGGTAACGACTGACTTCCAGGAGGTCAGGAGCTCAGGAAGCCGATTTTAATAGTAAAGAGATTGGAGGTCTGAAGAGAGGGTCCGTTCTCTATGTGGGCTGTACGGTTGTTGCAGGAACTTCAGAAAACAAGATGGTTTCTAGGTCAATTGTGCCCCGGCTCCTGAAGCGGGTTGTGAACCTTTTGCTAGAAAATACTACGTGTCAATTTCGGTTGTAAGGCATTACAGGGTGCTGCACTGAGCAGTAGACGAGGTCTTAGTTTGTAATGTACACAGTACTTCTGGTTTCGTCGGTCGTGAGGGATGTTTTTCGCGAGCTTTTTTGGCGTACGCATAAACATCCTGATCCTGGCGGCGAATGTTTACGCCTTCTCCAAGCAAACCTTCCGTCATATCATTGGGTCATATGTCTCGCTAGACTGGACAGCGCACCAGGCAGAAGAGGCACATTCTTACGATCACTATCAATAATATCGGATATTCTTCGGAATTGTGAGTTTATCAGTGTTTCCCGTCGTTTGAAGGAAGCTTATGGATTCTTACATCCTTGGAGAGTTTGCAGCAACCTCCTGATATCGAGGAGTCCATGAAGCGAGTTCGGCAAATGGCGCGAATGAGCGTCCTATCGGTGATGGATAAGTACAACTGCAGGTGTACGCAATGTACGACCTCGACAAGGGATTTATCACCTCGTGGCTCGAATTCCTCGTTCCTCGAGTGTGTTGTGAAATGCGAACAATATACTATTAGGCCTCAAAAATAGTGCGTATGAATTCCCATTTTGTCTGGTACAAAAGGGTGACGGACGCATGACCTGGACTCCCAACGGTGAAACCATATTTCGCGAGTGGCTAAGGTCGCCAAGCTTATCTACTGTAATCTTTATCAGCCGGCGACGACTCTCACCTCCCCGATGGTGCCGGCTGGGAACCTTTGAATACCTTGCGCCTCGGGTATTCCAGAGCACATAAGAGTCAATACTGGCCAGCATTTGTCCACTGGTCAGGGCTGCGGATAGGGGGGCTTGGTTCCGCTTCTGCCCACGAGCAACAGGGTAAAATCCGACACACGACTGCGAATCGAGCTTAGTACAGTCTGTAAGATATGCATGAGCTAGCAAATTGATTTCAACTTATATCCTTGCGCGGCACGGTGGAAAGGGTTGAAAGATTATGGTTGAATATCGAAACACGCTATAGTCTGTCCTCAAGTCTTAGCACGCGGGTACTTGCCAGACCAGGTACGGTCACAGAGAGGGAGTGGGAGGGAGAGAGAAGGGGAAGGGGGGTGAAAGAGAGGGAGAGGGAGAGAGACTGAGTGAGAGAGGGTGAGGGAGAAGAGGGTGAGGGAGAAGAGGGTGAGGGAGAAGAGGGTCAGGGAGAGAGGGTGAGGGAGAAGAGGGTCAGGGAGAGAGGGAGAGCAGGCCGCAATGAAAAATGGAAGAAAAATCGAACAACTTTGGGCTCCACCTATTGTATCCCCTACAGAGGATACAATAGGTGGAGACCAAAAAAGTCGATTTTTCTTACATTTTTGCCTTTTTGGGATGCTAAGGCATTGCACTGTGACTGTCGCCTGTTTGTCGCTTCTGAGCGGCACTCACCCAAGGGTCTAGTGAGAGCCTTGAAAATGTGCAGGATGACAGGTAAAACCAGTAGCAGAGTGATACTTAATTTTGCGGCGTTATTTCGACCCTGGAGCCAAGAAGTTCGACTGCTGATCCTATTTGGGAGCGAGTCTTTGGCTCAGTTGGTCCTCTTGCTGGAGAGCAAGGATCAACGGAAAATGAGACATCGTCGATTCGGTGTCTGGTTTGCACCAGAAACTAGCCACCTCAGGGCGTTTCGGCTTGAGCAACCGCAGTAGGGTTGTGCAGCTTTGGTATGCCTATCGTCCAGACTCGTTCAGCTGCGTCATTTGGAGATTTTGTAACGGCAATAATGCTCATTTTCTTGGTTACGTAGCGTGAGTTCTCGCGTAGACCAACAGAAGCCATGTTCAGCGATTGTGAAGTGATGAGAAGGAAGGGAGAAGGGAGGAGAAGGGAGACATGGCAGGCAGGAAGAAAGGAAGGGTAGAGGCAGGCAGGAAGAAAGGAAGGGTAGAGGCAGGCAGGAAGAAAGGAAGGGTAGAGGCAGGCAGGAAGAAAGGAAGGGTAGAGGCAGGCAGGAAGAAAGGAAGGGTTAGAGGGAGGCAGGAAGGGTAGAAGATGGGAAGAAAGGGAAGAGGGGTGTGATCAGAGAGAGGGCAGGATGAAAATGGTAGATGGAGTGGAGCCCACAAGCACTGACCATCTCTGACTCGGGACTATCACATGCTCTTGTTCTCACTCTTCTTGAAGTTTGCACCAACAAGGAATAATCATTAGAAATCATTGATCAGCCAAGAGCTAAGATGTCTGGATTATGCCCTTTCTGGATCTGGATGCCAAATACTATGGCTGCCTGCCAGCCATTGTCGCTTCTTGAGCGGCGCCGTGACTGGCGAAGCAGTGGTGCTGGGTTTGGTGTTGTTGTTCGGTTGGGGCAAGGACTGAGGACAGGCTTGACTGGTCATCTTTGAATGTGAGGTTTTTGCAGAGTCAGTCCTCTTGGTGTCGGGCTCATCTGGACGGCAGGGTTCGGCTCAAAGGCGGGTCTCCCCGAAGGAGACTCATAATCCAAAATGCACAAGGATCTAGCCGTCGCAGGGTGATTTCTGCTCCTCAAACGGGGTAGGATTGGAAGATTTGGCATACTTATCACTCATCTCGTCCAGCCGTGTCTTTCGGGACTGGGTAGAGCAACATGGCCATATCTGATCACTTCGCTAGAGTCATGTACTGTGAACGAACACAAGTGGAAACGAGTTAGGGAAAACCAGGCCGGTGTGAGAGAGGAGAGAAGGAGGGAGGCAGAAAGGAAGAGTAGGCTAAGGGAAGGGGACAGGAGAGGAGAGGATGAGATGATGGGTGGAGTGGAGCCCTGGCCTCTCGCACCGACCAGCTTTCGTTCCCTTCGTCCTCTGACATGTGCTCAAAAGTACTCTCTACTCGTCCACACGACAAGTCAGGCTCTTCTCGGCGTCAGCATGGTCCCCCAAGAACCTCCTCCCTCTCGACCTCGCCTTCACTCACCCATGCGCCTCTGCCATAGTGTACCTACCTAGTAGGGAACTGCCGTCATACAAGCGCTTGGGGGGACACGCTCCCCTCTTACAGTCAGGCAGAAGCTGGTACATTGGCCGTACGTATTCCAGCCTTGTACGCCGAATCTATCTGAATTAGTGTCTCTTCGTCGTAGTTTGATATGGAGAATCCGGTAAAGATTCATCTGACATTTGCCGGTAGAGCGTCGATACGCCGATGATGCACCAGCTATGACAGTAGTGCCACGGCGTTTTTTGTAAAGCGGATTGACTCTGGAACGAATGAGACCCCCTCCGAGGCGCAGGAAGCACCGATGCTGTCACACCAGCAAGGATGATTCCTGGTTTATGGCGGTTGGCGACGTCGATGTCAAATGCAGTCCATTCCTACTGTTGTAAGAGCTCAGTGGCTCGATCTGGAATCGTGATGTGCGTGCAGGTCTCGAAGCATGCCTGCGGAGCTCCTCAAATCCACAAAATCCCGGGTACCGACAATCTCGAGTCGAACAGGCAATAAGACCCCACGACAGTATTCATGCATCGATGATATGTTTGCCGGCGCTTATTGAACGGCCTTGTCGGTAGACGACGAAGTATATGATCCCGAGTTACATCTTGTTGAGCTTGGTAGTGGCAGAGGTAGTGGCTCTGCTCTTCATCTTGGTAGCGACTGACCATCAAACAGGCATGTATAGATAGGACATTGGTGGCGTTTTCCACATCTCAACACCTTCATCTGCGTCACTGTCAACGAACTCAACCCTGTTAGCAAGCGCACATTCTCTTGTGTGGCCATTGCCCGCCAGTCTGCACCGCACCGTCCAAGCGATCGGGCTTTGTCTCTTGTTCTCTCTCTGGCTGTATGAGCGGATAATGTCGAGGAGTCTGGTGGAAAAGGCATCAGATAGAGAAGGAGGAGCGACTTTAAACGGGAAAAGAACGACGCGTTGCAGCGGCCAGGGTCGTCGTACAGAGGGTACAAGCGAGGATAAGAAGAAGTAGGCAACGTGGGAACCGCAAGGGTTCCAGGGCCGAAAACGTTGAGGCGCCTGGAGCCAAGTTTGACATGGTCGCAGTTTGCTGTTCTCGATGAGGGAGGTGACTCTCGTGGGCAAAAGCCATCAAAGAGAAGACGGGTCGGAATCGGTGACGATGAAATTTGCTGGCCACTTGTTAGCGGTATTGACGGGATCTAGGGCGTTCAACAGAGGAAGGCGTTTCGTTTCATGCCCATACTCCAATCGGCGAAATCGACAGATAGATTCAAACAGTGAGGGTCTCAATGGATGGAACAATTGTCGGTCTCTTCACTTCTTTATGTTTTCCAGAAAGCACACTTTGTGTTCCAAGCGGCAGAAGTGGGAAAAAAGGGGAGGGCGACAGGACTCGTTAGGAAGGAGTTGTCAATATAACCGCCGGGGGTCGATATCGTCGACAAAATGCGTGGTCCAAAATAGCAGGTACACACGTCATCGGCCAGTCTTCAGCCCTTTCAAGGAAGGCTCTCGAAAGCGAAATACCTATTCACTTGAAGTCGGTTGGACGTAGTTCAAAAATTGTGTCGCGACGCGCATGCGAACCGATGAGAGCAAGTGATTGACGGCGCAGCCAGTCCTTGGCCTGGATGAATAAGCGCCCAGCATGTGACACCAAACCTAGCCTACTTGATTGGATGACAGTGCTACTCGCCTCTGCCTGCGCTCTTTCCCTGTGCCAACGGGCCCGAAGGCTTCGAGAAACTCCTCAAGAGACCGACATGGCACTGTATTGATCAATGTGAGAGCGCTTGCTCTCCTCTGTAACAAATGATATCGCCCGATAAAGAAGCCACGAACGTGCAGAGTCACGAACAGGCCAATCTGCACGGTAAGAGCCTCGAACGACGGGAACGCAGGATCAATGGATCACTGACGCTTTCTAGACAAACGGTACGCCGTGCAGAGCGACGACGGCGAACGTCCTCACAAGATCCGCCGCTTATCTGACCTTCGACACGCCTCTCCGGCTTCCCTGGTGGAAGACCTCAATCCTGAAATTCCTTCCTCGAAGCTGCACCGTCAGCTTCCATCTCCGTCTGCCACAAAAACCGACGAAGTGAGTGGATGCAATGCACGTCTCTACAGGAGGAAAGATGCTGACAAGGCGACGCAGTTGCATCGCGAATCGCCTCCTGCAAACCCTCTCGTACCAGGACGAAAGACAAGGTCGCCGGATAGATACGCCGTGCTCCCATCCGCACAGAGAGGCCGCCCGCACGGCGGTGCTTTTGTGGAGAAGTGGTTATCAAGCATTCCACCTAGCGAGGAATGCGACATCCAAGACGACATGAGTCTGCCACCCTCGAAACGATCTCGGTCCTCAGATTCGTTAAGTCGCCGACTTTCGCAATCTGGTGACGGCACGGAATCCACGGTTTCAGCAGACAAGAAATACTCGGCCTACAAAGATGTAAACTACCCGGTGGTTTTGGAGACGAAAGGTAGTTTTATGCGGCCATCTGATGCTGGCCTCGTGAAGGAAGACCTGATATTGTGCGAGAAGCTCCTCTACACGCATCAACCGCGTCCCGATCAGTCGTTATTTGATGACCGGTTCGACAAATTCCAGACTCTGATTCGAGGCCGATCCGAAGCTCGAGTCTTCCTCGACCTGCATCCTCTCCTCGTCCCATCGGTTGAAAACCTGTCCATCAGTGGGCGAGAGGAATTTCACGGTCTGATTGAAGGTCACAATGACCCCTGGGTCAAAGGGATTTCGTTCTATGGACCCCGACCGCAGCCGGACCGGACGTACGGATTCAAGTGGTCCAACTTTACCGAACTTCAGCGCCGGAAGCTCGGCATCGAACCTTGGGAGAAGTCGTACTACACAGCGCGCGAGGACATTTATTTTCCCTTCCTGACCAGCGAGGTGAAGTGTGGAAAACAGGGCCTTGACTTGGCAGATCGACCGAATGCTCATAGCATGACGGTTGCACTCCGGGGAGTCGTGGACGTCTTTCGCAAGGCCAATCGTGCTTCGGAGGTGCACAGGAGGGCTTTGGGATATTCCATTTCGCACGACGACCGGAGCGTGCGTATCTATGCTCACTATCCTGAGGTGGATGGTGAGAACACGTTGTACTTTCGCGAGACGATCAAAGAACTCAACATTGGAGACGAAAGGGGCGAACAGAGATGGATCAGTCACCAATTTACGCTCAACGTTTGCCAAATTTTCGCCCCGGCTCTGCTCAAGCGACTCACCGCGGTGATCGATGAGCTGCCTGATCCGCTTACAAGGACACTCGAACCGGCCAGCATCGATGAGCTCAGCGTACAAAGCTCGCAGGAGGATAGCAGTGCGCCTGAATCTCAGGATGAAGGGTTTCGCAAACCACCGCGAGGGAGGGGCTTGAATGCCGAGTTTCGAACTATGATTCAAAACTTGCAGCGGCAGCTGGATCAGCAACGAAAGGATGCAAAGGATAGGGAGACCTTGTTGGCGGCTCAGCTAGAGCAGCAACGAAAAGACTCTGAGCAACAACGAAAAGACTCTGAGCAACAACGAAAAGACTCTGAGCAACAACGAAAAGA